CTGCCCACTCCTCAGGCTGGTGTGCCCTCCCCACCACAGTTTGAGGTAAAGTGACCAGACGTGCGTGTCCCTTCATGAGGCTCTAACGCAGCTCCGACACGGCCACCAGGTGTGCTCTTCCCTGGCCAAGCAGAGCCCTGGGCACATCAGGTACCGCACACTTGTCCTCCAGGATGCTCTAGCCTCGCTTCCTGTCACCCTTTGACTCTGAAAATCCCGACGACTCCCAGGACACAGGGCATGCCTGTGGGTTCGGTGGGGATGTGGAGGCCCTAGCAGGAGCGGCTATAGCCCGGCCTGCCCTGCCATCTGCCACAGCCACCTGGTTGCCTTTCCCAGCCGGCCCTGAGTCTCTGTGGATGTCCCAGGACACTCCGCTCTGCCCTTGGCCTCCTAGTTCTCTGGCCCTTTGTGCTCTTGTTTCATTTCCATCGTCCCCAGCCTGGCAGGGCCAGCATGGGCTAGGGGGTGTCCAGAGTGTTTGAATGGATTGGGAGACTTTAATAAAATGCCTGCGTGTGCTGTCCAGCGAGAGAAAGAAAGACACGGGCCTTCTACTGCCGTAAAGAGTTCCAGTCTCGGAAACCCACAGGGGCAGTTCTACCCTGTCCTATCGGGTCACTACAATGGCCGTGAGTGAGTGAGTGAGTGGGTGTAACATGCAGGGAGCCCTGGTGGTGCAATGGAGTAAGCATTGGACCACTAACCACAAGGTCGGAGGTTCAAACCCATCCGCCGCTCCGAGGAAGAACAATGAGGCTGTCTGCTCCCATAAAGACCGACATCCTCAGTAACCCTGCATGGGGCAGTGGGTGTGCTGCATTTGTCCATGTAGGGCCTCATGCACTTCCCAGGCATCCCTCTTCCCAGCCAGCTGACAGCAGTCAGGCAGGGTGAGGGCGGGGGTGGGGGACACCTGGGTGCCCGAGGGAGGAACAGGGTGCTGAGAACCCCTAACCTTTCAGTTGCCAGGCTCGCCCTGGCACCCAGGAGCACCACGGCTCTCCTTGCTCCTTCAGAAGCAGAGAGCCGCTCCTGCACAGGCCTGTCCCGCCCATGTAGACCTGGGTGGATGCTGGCCTCTGGGTGTCAAAGCAGGGGCGCAGGACACAGCCAGGGGAGCCCCCCGGGGTGCCGCTCCCAGATGGCCGCAGCAGATGGTGGACAAGCACCTCCTCTGGAAGCCTTTGTTCCGGCCCGCCTGCCCTGCCCTTCAGCCCAGCCTGCACGCACCTCAAAGGAAGCCCGCCTCCAGCAAGTACCTCCCCTAGCAACAGCCTCTTACAAACAGCAGGGCAGCTGCACACAAGCTCGGCAAGTCAGGGGGCCCCTTGTTCCACGGCTGGCCCATCGTGGCCTCACTAGCCCTCCGCTCTGTGTCTCCGGCCATCACCTGCTGTTCCTTTATTTAGCAGCTGGCCGCCCAGGATGGTGGCCCTCAAGGAGCAGGTGTGCAGTGTGTCCCTTAAAATGCAAAATGAAGGGAATACTGGTTCCCGGAAAAGGGGCAAGTCGGGAGCGCAGTGTCCTGGGCAGAAAGGCTTCTGCCCTGAATCTGCCAGTCTGTACCATAAGGGGACTCAGAGTTGGGCTTCTTTTGAAGGAGATTCTGTAATATTTACAGCCCCCCTCCCTCCCACAAAACTGCCATCACTGCTGACTCATAGCAACCTATAGGACAGGGTAGAACTGCCCCTTGTGTGTTTCCAAGACTGTAACTCTTTATGGGAGTAGAAAGCTCTGTCTTTCTCCCTCAGAGAGGCTGGTGGTTTTGAACTGCTGACCTTGCAGTTAGCAGCCCAGCACGCAGCCACTCGGCCACCGGGGCTCCCTGAATTAAAGTTAAACTGAACCAAACTTTTATTTTGCTTGAAACAATTCATGCCCAAGATCTGAACGTGAAACTGCTCTTGCCCCTCCCCGCTCCCAAGTTCCTGGCCCCAAAGGCAGTCACTTTCAATCCCCTAAGAGTCACCTAGGGGAAACAAAGCAGGACCCTTACACTGGTGATCCTTGCGTTTTCAGTCTTGCATGGTGTTAACAGAGACTGCGACTATCGGCCGTGTGGCTTTGGGTGTGTGTCTTACATCCTGTGGACACGCTGTCGGGAGAGACAGCATCGACCCCGTCAACCGGGAGAAGGACGTTGTGCTTGGTAAACTAGAGGGGCAGCAAGAAAAACAGGGGAAGCCCTCAGCGAGGTGGGCGGACGCAGTGGCTGCAACAACGGGCTCAGGCGGGGTAGGGACAGTGGCGAGGACGGCGCAGGACCGGGCAGTGTTTCCTTCCGCATCGGGTCGCTGTGAGTTGGAACCGACTTGGTGGCACCAAGAACCACCGAGATATGTGTTGCTTAGCGTCTGTTTGGGAAGTGTCTGACTACGCATCGGTCCGTCGCCAGGGCACCCAGGTGTCTTGAGTGCCAGGCACCAGCCCTTCGTCCGGGGGTTGAAGCCCCACTTATGCCTTACAGCTGTGCCCAACCCAGAGCCACTCGCCCACAGGTAGGGGCCTGGCCTCATCGCCCAACCCTGAGTCCCTGACTCAGTAGGTCTGGTCTCTGTGCCTTGCCTGGTGTGGTCCCACAGGGCAGCAGTAGCTCCCTTGGCCCCATACTGCCTCCTCCCTGGG